TTGAGAGGTCTTGACGACGTGATCAGGCGCTGCATCAAATGCAAGGATTATGATTATTATTATTCTTAGTGTCACCCTCACTCCCGCTCCTGTTCAACCCTCCCTCTGCTGTGCGTTCCTCCGCTCATCACTACCCCTCTACCCTTTGGAGCCACCTCCCTTCATCCCTCCGCCTCACCCCCCCAACCCCACTCTCAGTCGGGAATCGAGTAACCAGATTATTTTTGAAGGGATTATTACCCCCAGAAAGCGATGAGCCGATCGACTAACAACCGGGTTCCTACTTACTGCTGGTTAGACAGAGGCGTGTGGGTGATGTAAGGAAACTTGCCTCAGGTTTCGCTCTGCACGGGAATCAAACCCAGGTCCTCTCACTTGCGAGGCGAGCTCTCTAACTACTACGCTGCTGGAAGCGTCAGCCTGGATTGTTTCTCCAAGCCCTCGGGGGGCTATTTAATTCCGGGGAATGTCAGCACACTCAGCATTGTGGCTCACGGCATTTACGTTCACAATTTAAATTGCTGCTGGGTTTGATAAAGTAGTCGACGGGTCCCTGAACCATCTAATCTCCGGGCTAATTCCGTCTCTCTCCAGCAACACCCTCCTAACAGAGAGCAAGGAATGTTAGGTGTGGAAATCTGTATCCGACTGCGTGAAATTAGATTTGTTAACACTGTCACACTATTGAGAAGATTTGTTCCAAACCCCCAACCCTCTTCCTGACAGTCCCCAGACATGGATAACCCAGAGAAAGACGGCATGTCAAAAATAATAATATTAATAATAATCCTTACATTTGAGGTAGTGCCTTAAAAAATATATATACAATAATTTGGTCACTCAATCCATGACTGTTTGTGGGGACGCTGCTGTGCATAATTGGCTTTCGCATTTCGCCCACAAAATATACAGTCAATTCACTTTACAGTATATCCTGTGAAGCGCTTTGAGACGTCTCGAAGATGTGATGAGGCGTTATATCAAATGCAAGGATTATTATATATATCACAGAGAAAGACAGCATGTCAAAAATAATAATAATAATCCTTGCAAATGCTTTTGCGTCGTCGAGACGTCTCAAACGCTTCACAGAATGCACTGTAAAGTGGATTGATTGTGGGCGAAACGCGGCAGCCATTTGTGCACGGCTGCATCCCACAAACAGTCATGGATTGAGTGACCAAATTATTATCCCTGGAAAGCGCCAATCGCCTAACAACTGAGTTCCTACTAACTGCTCGGTTTGACCCGAGGCGTGTGGAGTAAGGGGTCTTCACTTAAGGTTTTGCCCCGTCCGGGAATGGAACCCAGGTCCTCTCGCCTGCGAGGTGAGCGCTCTGGAATGTCACATCTTTGCTCTTTGCGACTGACTGTAGGGCAGGAATTCTGAGAGAATTCCGGATACGAAGCTTCACTGAGGTCTTGTTATCTGCCCCACCTCGCTTACATATTAGGTGCAGTCACATTGGGAGAGGATTGAAACCCTAGCAGGACAGAGGGATACCGTCTGCTTTGAGATACCATCGACAATTAGGTTTATCCGTTTAATTCACTGGAATAATGGCTCAAATGCTGACTTCCCCAGACAGACGGCGGGAGATTGCAATGTTGCGTGTGTGTCTCGGCGAAGATCAGATACACGCGCACAAACACGGACACACACACACCCGCACACAAACGCACACATCGCACAAACACACAAACACACTCGCACGGACACACGCTAACACACATGCGCACGCAAACACCCACACAAGCGCGCATGCACACACACGCGCGCGCACGTGAAAACACACACGCAAAGACACGCGCAAACACACTCACGACGTACGCAAAGGCACACCAAAAAACGGGCTCGGAAAGATTATCTTCCCATCTGTCTAGTCGCTGCAATGCTTTACAGAAGCCTATTGTTTGCAGATGATCGTCAGAAGAGGAAGCTCCTTTCTTATCTGACAAAGCTTTGCTGATCAGATCCGGATGAAAACATCAGTAAGATATGTTGAAGAGGAGCAAAGCAATTCATCACGAGCCTTGTATTTGACACAGCCTCGTAATAACGTTGTCAAAACGCCTCACAAAACAAATTAGGTTCTCATCTTGGTTCGGAGACTCTTAAGCACGATGTTGGGGTTTCCGCATGTGCCAGACACCAGGCTGACCAACAAAGAATAATTATTTTAAGAGCTGCGTGTCCCTGTAAATGGACCACGCTGCGGGCAGCATTAGCAGGAGTCAGGCACAGAGGGATTGCATTCGGTCGGCTGTTGAGGTACAGACATCCACACATGTTAATTGCTCTGCTCTGCCCTGCGGTCTGTGTTTGATGTCGAACGGATTCAGTCTATAAAAGCTGCTTTATTAGCCGGCTGAGGTAAGTACCTAACTGGTCTCCCCCCCCCCCTACTTTACCACTAAAGCCTTTCCAAATTACACAGAGGCTCTTGATGTTCATTGATTCAAAACTGCTTGGGAAGAGAAAGCGGATTCTCTTCTCAGCACTGAGTGTAAACATTGGCCACGAACTGTGATTTCCTGCTTAAATTTCGCCCACAAAATACACAGTCACTCCACTCCACTTTACAGTATATCCTGTGAAGCGCTTTGAGACCTCTCAATGACGTGACGAGGCATTGTATCAAATGCAAGGATTATTATCATAATTATTAAATATTATTCTGATTCATTCAACTTGTTTAGATGTTTTACTCCAAATAACTTTGACAGGACTGGAACAGCCCTATTTACATTAACCTTATCAAACGCTTTTTAATTTGAATTTGAAACACTTCTCTAATAATAATATAACAATGATAATGGGTGGTCACTCAATCCACGGCTGGTTGTGGGGACGCTGCTGTGCGCAATTGGCCGCCGCGTTTCGCCCGCAAAAAAATATACAGTCAATTCACTTTACAGTGTATCCTGTGAAGCACTTTGAGACGTCTCGAAGATGTGATAAGGCGCTGTGTCAAATGCAGGGATTATTAGATATGTTACACGTTTAACTGTTTTACTCCAAATTAACACGGCTTCTCACACCATTTGTTTGCCCTTGAGTTTGGTTGATGGTTGTCCAAAAGTAAACCAGTTTCTCCCGGCTCCGTATCTCGCAAGCTCCTACCTTGGAGACAGCCCACCCGGGCACAGGAGATAATAATATATAATAAATAATAATAATCCTTGCGTTTGATACAGCGCCTCATCACGTCGTTGAGAGGTCTCAAAGGGTTTTTCCGAATACTCTCAGGTTGACCCTGTAACACACTGCCCCCTCCCTCGCCTCCTTCAAGGCTCCGTCTCAAGACCCTACTCTTCGACCGCGCCTTCAGCCACCCTCCTACCCCTACCCTCCCTGCCCTCCACCCCTCCTGATCCCAAACCCCCTGCTCGTGTCCAAACCCCTGATTGTCCAGCTCCTTGGGATGTCCTCCCGACGTGAAAGGCGCTGTGGAAATGTCAGTTGTTGTTGTTGCTGCTCACACGTGCGTGCACGAACGCTCCCCTGACATCACTGCAGAGTTAATAATAATAATAATCCTTGCATTTGATAAAGCGCCTTATCAAGTCTTCGAGACGTCTCAAAGTGTTTCACAAGATGTACTGTAACATGAAGTGACTGTATATATTGTTGGCGCAAGTCCGTGCTCACGTTGCCTGCATCCGCGAGAGCAAGCTGTGCGGTTTGATTTCTTTTACGAATTTCCACCCCGTTTCCCCCACCCCACCACCCCCCCCCCCCCCAAAAAAATAAAATAAAGAAAGGGCCGAGACAGTGGGGGAATTTGAGGCCTGTGATGGGAAATGATGTATGATTCGGTTCGCCCTCCGTGTGCAGATGACTGACCCTTATCACACATGTCTACCCTTCCTGCTCATTTATTGTCCACACCACATAGACAGAAATTTCCTGTCTGTCTGTCTCCAGGCGTTGAACCATTAACTTGCTGACAGTTGTAATGTAAGCAAACAGTAATGGTACTCTGCCCCCCCGCCCGCCCCCACCCCACCGGGAGAGGGGAAGCTTTGATCTAGAGACCTGGTGAGTAACTTCAGGGCATGTGGAGGGTGGTGGGGGGGGTGGAGGGAGAGAGAGAGAGAGTGTGGGAGAGGGAGAGAGAGAGAAGTCAACTGTACATCCCAGAAACTTGGAACTACTAAAACATTATTTCTAGTGGTTAGAGTGCTCGCCTCGCAAGCGAGAGGACCCTGGTTCGATTCCCGGGAGGGCTGAAACCTTAGCCCATTTTCCTTACTCCGCGCACACCCAGATGTTTACTCAGAAGCAAATAGGAACCCGGGTGTTATTCGACTGGCGGTTCGCTTTCCAGGGGTAATAATCCCTTCGCGAACAATAATAATATTAACAATAATAATCCTTGCATTTTGATACAGCGCCTTATCAAGTCTTCGAGTTGTCTCAAAGCGCTTCACCGGTTATACTGTAAAGTGAATTGACTGTATATTTTGTGGGCGAAACGCGAAAGCCAATTGCGCGCAGCAGGTCCCCACTAACAGCCGTGGATTGAAGTGACCAAATCATTATTATTTTTTTGAAGGGATTATTACCCCCAGAAAAGTGATCCCCCAATCAACTACCAATCAAGTTCTTACTTGGGACATCCTCCCGACGTGAAAGGCACTATACAAATGTAATCTTCCTCACTGCTAGATAAACAGAGGCGTGTGGAGTAAGGCAACCTGCCCACAAAACACACAGTCACTACACTTTACACTGCATCCTTTGAAGCTCTTTGAGACGTCTCGAAGACGTGATAAGGCGCTATATCCGATGACGGGATTATTATTATATTTATTGTCTAAGTTTATTATTATTATTATTACTGTTTGGCCCTGGAATCGAACCCAGGTCCTCTCGGCGAGCGCTCTCACCACTGAGCTACAGGACTACACAAAGGGAGCTGTATAAATGCAAGTGATTGAAATTTCCTGTCTCCCCTCTCTCTCTCACTCTCTCTTTCCCTCTCTATCTCTGGCAGCTCATGTGCTCCACGATACAGAAGGCTCTGTTCGAAGAGGAAGATCGGGTGAAGAAGCTGCAGAGGAAAGTGGCCTCGCTCGAGAGGCGTAACGGGGCGCTGAAGGACAAGGTCAAGCGGATCAAGAGGACCCTGCGCAACGTCAAGAAGAACAGCAAACGTGTGGAGCAACTCAACAAGCGGCTGCTGGAGAAAGCCTCCATGAGCGGCAACCAAAGCCCACACTACTCCAAGCCAGACTCCAGCGGGACTCTCCTCAAAGTGTAGCCAACCGTGTCACTCCCCAACTGTTCCTTCTGTCTCCTCTGCAAATTCACCCCCCCCCCCCCCCCCGCACCCTTCCTCTTCCTCGCCTCCATTGAACTGATGTTAAAGGAGAGGGGGAGGAAGGGAGGGAGGGAGGGAGTGGGGGGCAGGGGGGGTAAAGGCGCTGGGCACCTGTCCCCCCCTCTCTTCCTTCTCCCCCCTCACTCCCTTCTCCCCCCTCACTCCCTTCTCCCCCACTTCCTTCTTGCCCCCTTCCGTCAGCTCAGGGCAATCCTCGAGCATTCCTCAACGATGTCAAGCCAAGACCTCTTAACCTCACTCCCAGGGCCCCTTCGCACAATAACAATAATAATCATAATAATAATCGATGCATTTGATATAGCGCCTCATCACATTGGCGGGGGTGGGGGGTAAGTTTTCCCGGGGGGAGGGGGTAATAATCCCTTAAAAAAAAATCCACGACTGTTTGTGGGACACTGCTGTGCGCAATTGGCTGCCGCGGTTTGCCCACCAAATACACAGTCACTCCGCTTTGCGGTATTTTCTGTGAAGCGCTTTGAGACGTCAATATTATTATTATTAATGGAAGTAACCCATTCGCGCTTGGAGGTGAGGTGAGCTAACAACCCCCTCTCTCTCTCTCTGTCTGTCTGTTTCCGTCTCTGGTGACTTATTGACAGAGTAGCTCTGCCGACCCCCCCCCCCCCCCCCCCCCCCCCCCCCCGCCCCCTCCACGCCTCCGTACAACATTTGGATCCACTCCGTGTTAGATGTGCTCCAGTTCAGCGATCGTCAGCGCGTGTGTAAAATAAACATAAGACGTGTTGGCGACGGGTGTTGTGACGTACGGCAAACGTAGCTCTTTCTCTTTACAGAAGGTTAAGATGGAGACGATTGAGAAGCTTGCACGTCTCAGGCTCCCACAGCTTGTCACTGTGTCCTCACGGCCCTGTAGGCTGGTTTCCGCACTTCCAATAAACAATGGTAACCTTCGGGAACGAGTTTCTTTCTCATGGATTAAAGACTTGCTATTTCATTTCCAGACAGGATGCAAAAGTACCAGACGCAGGTTGGCTAAAGCCAAGGCTCGGGGGGGGGGAGCTCAGAGTGTGCGTTGGGGGTAACTGCTGATGTCTAACCAGCTAAACCCACACGGCTTGGCCATTGATATTACCGTCGGCCAAGCTTTCCCGCTGCTTGTCCGGCTAGGACCACCCTCCCCGTTAGTTAGGGCTTTGGCTGTGGGGTTAACAGGAGCCGAGGGGGAAGGATTCCCGGCCCCCAGTGACTGGTCTGTCCTTCCAGGTCCTGCCGATGAGCCGGGCCGGGCTGTGCTGCCGTCGGCAGTGAGTGCCCTGGGACACTGCGGCCCCTCCTGGTCAGGAACCGGACTGGAGACCGTGACGGGAGGGGGAGGGGGGGGGGGGGGCTCGATTCCCACAGTCCGTGGCCAGACCTGTCAGCTTGGAGCCAGTGATGGGATTCCGCGTGTGGCTGACCAAAAAAAAATCGTGAGATTACACCTGTAATAGGGTACATTGAACACGTTTGTTCAAGTGACCCAACAACACACTGCTTCACTGCACTCCCACACACTGGAAACAACAGCCGATATTTGGTTGACCTCAAACACATGGGAGGAAGAACAAAATGGAAGTTTTCCAAACGTCAGTGTATAAATATGTGCAAAAGAGTTTGTTAAAGGCCAAGATTTATTTCTAAACACAGAATCACAATCATCAACAGCTGGAACCCATCGGAGGGGGATTAGGTATTGTTGCTAAGTATGTTTAACAAGGTACATCCGAGACCCAATTTCTACTGCTGGAATCAATTTGAAATCGCTTTTGGCAGCAATAATAATAATAATAACATTAAAAGTAATCCTTGCATTGATGTAGCGCCTTATCGCATCATTGAAACATCTCAAAGCGCTTCACGGTAAAGTGCAGTGACTGTGCATCTTGTGCCAATTTTCGCACAGCAGCGTCCCCACAAACAGCTGTGGAGCGAGCGACCGATTTGATTTGGGGGGATTGTCGGCCAGGACACCGGGAGAGAGAGAGAGAGAGAGAGAGAGAAAAACTCCCTTCTCTTTTCGAATAGCACCGCGGGATCTTTAACGTCCACTTGAAGGACGGGACCTTGGTTTAATGTCTCACCCGACGGACAACGTCTCCGACAATTCCCCCCCCCCCAGCACTGCATTGGAGCACCAGCTTAGACTATGTGACTCCAAGTTCTGATTTAGGATTTGAACCCTCAACCTTCTGACTCAGAGGCATGAAAGCTACCACAGAGCCACAAACCGATGGATGGATGGATGGATGATGATTCACACAGATGGGTTGCAACAAAAGACAGAGACTGTGATAAGCAGCGAGGGGCTCTTTCTGAGTCACAAAGCGGGGCATCCTGCCGCTCACACGGCTTGAGGTTCGCGGGTGTATAGACCAGGGCACCTGTTGCACTATTGGACCACTGGCCAGTGACTGCCAGCTGTGTGACCATGCAGATGAAGGCGATTCAGAGAGATTTGGACCCACACATAGCTCGGCCGTGAGATGACAATTGGATTATAATGAGGATTAGAGTCAATACAGTTGGGAGAAGGAAAACAGTAACTGTGTATTCTATGGCAGGATTCCTACTTAGGCTCCAGTGTCCTCTCCTCTCACCACCTTCCTAACTCTGCTCCAGCTGTTAATTGTTGTTGCGTGTAAGAGAACGCGTTGGGAACCCATAACACCTCAGATACAGAAATCAATTGGGATGTTTAAAAGAGAGGTGCATAGATAATAATAATAATAATAATATCATTTCATTTGATAATCGAACCTTATCACGTTTTCAAAACATCTCAAACTGCTTTGCGCGCTGCAGTGTCTCAAGTCTCTCAATCCACACTGCTCTGCGCAATTGGCTGCCGCGTTTCACCCACAAAATACACAGTCACTCCACTTCACAGTATATGCCGTGAAGCCCTTTGAGACGTCTCGAAGACGTGATAAGGCGCTATACCAAATGCAAGGATTACTAGTATTATTATTGTTGAGATGTCTTGCCGAGACGTAAGGCGCTATATCAAATGTAAGGATTAATATTATTATATTATTGTTTTAAAATCAGTCATTCATGGCTATTTGCGGGGACATTTGCTGTGCAGAAGCCGGCTGCCATGTTCGCCTACAAAATACAGTCACTACACTTTACAAGAACAAGGGGGACACGATCTTAAAATTAGAGCTAGGCCATTTAGGAGAGAAATTAGGAGGCATTTTTTCGCACAAAAGCTGGTAGGAATCAGGAACTCTCCCTCCCTCAAAAGCCTGTGGGTTATGGCTGGATCCATTCAAGACTGAGGAGGATAGATTTCTGTTAGGTCGGGGTCTCAAGGGATTATGGAGTAAAGGTGGGACAGATCAGCCATGACCCAACAGAATGGTGGAATGGTCCAGAGGGGCTGAATGGCCGCCTCCTGTTCCTATGTTACTATTTACAGTAAAGTCTGACCTAATGGGTTTTGTGTCAGTGGTAAGGATTCTTTCACTCCTGAGACAGTTGCTGTGTTACTAGGAGAGTGGATAAACATCTGCATTCTCTATTGGAACAATCATTTCTCAGAAATAATCAATTACCCCTGTAATTGGGCCGCAAGTCCTGAGCCAGACACTAATTATACAGTTCATGCATTTATCACCAGAGGCTAGGCTTGTGTGCTCAGGATCGCTCCAACGTTGGCAATGGATTAAGTCGGGAGGATGGGAAGACTACCAAATGAAGACAAAAAGATATTACTGCAAAAATTACAGGCGTCTGTAACATTCATTGTGGGCAAGGATTCTTTCCCACTCAGCTCCTATTAACTCCGCAAGCCAAAGCCCTAATGGGGTGAGTGGTCCTAGCTGGACAAGCAGCGGGAAAGCTTGGCCAGACAGCGCTCTCAATGGCCAAGCTCTGTGGTTTTAGCTGGTTAGACTCCAGCAGTTAACTCCCCAACACACACTCTGTGCTCCCCACAAGTTGACTCTTGCCAACCTGCGCCTAATACTCTCCAGTGTGTGAGTGTGAGAGAGAGAGAGAGAGAGAGAGAGAAAATGAATGAGCATTCAATTCCAGACACAGGGAAATTCCTATGTGTAGGTGGCAAACGTATGTGGAACTCTCAGTCTGGTTTGGAGACTCTGAAGCACGGGTGATGGGTTTCCGCGTGTGTCAGACACCCGGCTGCCCAAAATAACAGGCAAACGTCCCTCACTGTGTCTTAAGACAACAACCAACAGATGCAAACCGTTCTCCTCCACTGTCTTACCATTCTGTTGTTGTTGTTGTCTTCTCACTGATGTCAGACTGGCTGCAGATCATACAATGTTCCATCTCTCTCTCTGTTGCCCTTCCTACGGTCCAAAGCTCTCACTCCCTCTCTATTGCCTCTTAGCAGCAAACACAGCTGCTATGGGGTAATTGCTCAGAGGGCGCCCCCTGGAGGTCAACAGGAGATCTACAGGGAGGCCATTCAATTCTCCATCCAACCTCCTCTGACTCCACCATCATCGGCGGAGCCTTCAACTGCTGCACCCCACCCTCTGGTGCTGTCTCCAGCCCCCACCCCACTCCCCTTCTCTTCCTGTCCCTCCATCCCTTAACATAGAGGAGACTGAGAAAGGTCGTCAACATTGATACTTTTCAGAATAATAGTAACAATCACACAGTAATAATAAACCATACAGTAATAATAATCATTATAGTAATAACAACAATAACATTGACAATACAGGAGTAACAATACAGTGATGATAATTATTATTCCAACAGTATTTCTACAATGTATTATTATTATTAATAATAACAATACGAATAAACTTGCATTTGACTTATCACACTGAACATCCTCAAAGTGCTTTGCAGGGGATTGCTGACAGCTGTAGTGACTGTGTGTTTTGTGGGCGAAGCGCGGCAGCCCATTTGCGCGCATCAACATCCCACACACAGACATGGAGTGAGTGAGTGACCGGTTTTATCTGGGGTGGAGGTGGGGGAAGGTGGTGGGGGGGGT